GGCATAGATTGGTTGTACGCTCTTGTAGGCATAGATTGGTTGTACGCTCTTGTGGGCATAGATTGGGCGTAAACTCTTGCGGGCATAGATTGGGCATAAGCTCTTGTGGACATAGATTGGTTGTCAGCTCTTGTTGGCATAGATTGGGTGTAAGCTCTTGTAGACATAGATTGGGTGTAAGCTCTTGTAGACATAGATTGGGTGTAAGCTCTTGCGGGCATAGATTGGGTGTAAGCTCTTGTAGACATAGTTTGGGTGTAAGCTCTTGTGGCCATAGATTGGGTTGTCAGTTCTTGTAGGCATAGATTGGGTGTAAGCTCTTGTGGGCATAGATTGGGTGTAAGCTCTTGTGGGCATAGATTGGGTGTAAGCTCTTGTTGGCATAGATTGGGTGTAAGCTCTTGTAGACATAGATTGGGTGTTGGGCGTAAGCTCTTGTGGCCATAGATTGGTTGTCAGCTCTTGTAGGCATAGATTGGGTGTAAGCTCTTGTGGGCATAGATTGGGTGTAAGCTCTTGTGGGCATAGATTGGGCATAAGCTCTTGCGGGCATAGATTGGGTGTAAGCTCTTGTAGACATAGATTGGGTGTAAGCTCTTGTGGCATAGATTGGCCGTAAGCTCTTGTGGGCATAGATTGGGTGTAAGCTCTTGTGGGCATAGATTGGGTTGTAAGCTCTTGTGGCCATAGATTGGGTGTAAGCTCTTGTGGCCATAGATTGGGTGTAAGCTCTTGCGGGCATAGATTGGTTGTAAGCTCTTGTGGGCATAGATTGGTTGTCAGCTCTTGTGGGCATAGATTGGGTGTAAGCTCTTGTGGGCATAGACTGGTTGTCAGCTCTTGTGGGCATAGATTGGGCGTAAGCTCTTGTGGACATAGATTGGTTGTCAGCTCTTGTGGCCATAGATTGGGTGTAAACTCTTGTGGGCATAGACTGGGTGTAAGCTCTTGTGGGCATAGATTGGGTGTAAGCTCTTGTGGGCATAGATTGGGTTGTCAGCTCTTGTGGGCATAGATTGGTTGTCAGCTCTTGTAGGCATAGATTGGGTTGTAAGCTCTTCTGGGCATAGATTGGTTGTCAGCTCTTGTAGACATAGATTGGTTGTCAGCTCTTGTGGGCATAGATTGGGTGTAAGCTCTTGTGGCCATAGATTGGGTGTAAAGCTCTTGTAGGCATAGATTGGTTGTCAGCTCTTGTGGGCATAGATTGGTTGTCAGCTCTTGTGGGCATAGATTGGTTGTCAGCTCTTGTGGCATAGATTGGTTGTCAGCTCTTGTGGGCATAGATTGGGTGTAAGCTCTTGTGGGCATAGATTGGGTGTAAGCTCTTGTGGCCATAGATTGGTTGTAAGCTCTTGTGGCCATAGATTGGGTGTAAGCTCTTGTAGGATTATAGATTGGGTGTAAGCTCTTGTGGCCATAGATTGGTTGTCAGCTCTTGTGGCCATAGATTGGGTGTAAGCTCTTGTAGGCATAGATTGGGTGTAAGCTCTTGTGGGCATAGATTGGGTGTAAGCTCTTGTGGGCATAGATTGGTTGTCAGCTCTTGTGGGCATAGATTGGGTGTAAGCTCTTGTTGGCATAGATTGGGTGTAAGCTCTTGTAGACATAGATTGGGTGTAAGCTCTTGTGGGCATAGATTGGTTGTCAGCTCTTGTGGCCATAGATTGGTTGTCAGCTCTTGTGGCCATAGATTGGTTGTCAGCTCTTGTGGGCATAGATTGGTTGTCAGCTCTTGTGGCCATAGATTGGTTGTCAGCTCTTGTAGACATAGATTGGTTGTCATAAGCTCTTGTGGCCATAGATTGGTTGTCAGCTCTTGTGGCCATAGATTGGGTGTAAGCTCTTGTAGGCATAGATTGGGTGTAAGCTCTTGTGGCCATAGATTGGTTGTCAGCTCTTGTGGGCATAGATTGGTTGTCAGCTCTTGTGGGCATAGATTGGTTGTCAGCTCTTGTGGGCATAGATTGGGTGTCAGCTCTTGTGGGCATAGATTGGGTGTCAGCTCTTGTAGGCATAGATTGGTGTCAGCTCTTGTGGCCATAGATTGGTTGTCAGCTCTTGTGGGCATAGATTGGGTGTCAGCTCTTGTGGCCATAGATTGGTTGTCAGCTCTTGTGGGCATAGATTGGTTGTCAGCTCTTGTGGACATAGATTGGGTGTAAGCTCTTGTGGCCATAGATTGGTTGTCAGCTCTTGTGGGCATAGATTGGGGTTGTCAGCTCTTGTAGGCCATAGATTGGGTGTAAGCTCTTGTGGCCATAGATTGGTTGTCAGCTCTTGTGGCCATAGATTGGTTGTCAGCTCTTGTGGCCATAGATTGGGTTGTAAGCTCTTGTGGGCATAGATTGGTTGTCAGCTCTTGTGGGCATAGATTGGTGTAAGCTCTTGTAGGCATAGATTGGGTTGTAAGCTCTTGTGGGCATAGATTGGTTGTCAGCTCTTGTGGCCATAGATTGGTTGTCAGCTCTTGTGGGCATAGATTGGTTGTCAGCTCTTGTGGGCCATAGATTGGTTGTCAGCTCTTGTGGCCATAGATTGGTTGTCAGCTCTTGTGGCCATAGATTGGTTGTCAGCTCTTGTGGCCATAGATTGGTTGTCAGCTCTTGTGGGCATAGATTGGTTGTCAGCTCTTGTGGCCATAGATTGGTTGTCAGCTCTTGTGGCCATAGATTGGTTGTCAGCTCCTGCAGGTCGGGCCGTTTTTACCATCGGATTCATTTTATGTTGGATGATGATAATCTTTTCATATTTATTCTGTGATTCCGGAGGATTGTGAGGTGCTGTGGAGGATGCTGGAGCTGCATGATGGGTAATAATGAATGACAGAATGGAGGGGCCCCAGCGTGGCCTTCATTACACGTCCCAGTTATCAGTTTGAAGCCTCGAAGTACATTGGCTTAGATGTGCAGAAAATGTGATTTCCCGACGTTGTGACGCTGTGCCTTCTACATGCTCCATAGTTAATTTCACGCCATTCGTGCCTTTCCTCCATTTAATCATCTGCAGACCCCATGTACCCTTAATTAGATGACTGAGTTGCCAAGCCTGACAATCGCTCCGACAACCGTGAAGACCTGGATGGCTCCGGCTGGAAGGTATATGGGCTTTGGCAGGACACAATCTGGGCAGAATGAACGGTCGTTTATTATCTCGGCTCTACCTTTCCAACTGTTGGAGCGAATGTCACAATGCATTTATTTTACATTTCCTATTGCTGGAGAAATGACTGCGCCGGTCTCCTCCACCATTAATATGAATCTCCCGGAAAGGGAGGCCGGCTAGAATGATAGTTTTACTTCTCACCCTCCTCCTGTAGGTAGGTCCAAGGGATGAGCCAAATGGACATCGCATTCAGCTCCAGGCAAGTTCAACAAACATTACTGAAGTCCGGATGATGAATCCAAAACCCATTGAAGTCAACGGAAGTCAAATATTTGAAACCAATAATGGACATTTTCTAGGGTAGGGATCTCCAAACTGTGGATTGGGGACACATGTGGCTCTTTGCTTGCTTATATCCCCGCCCTTGGGGCATTATTCCATCTATTGACTCCAACAATTGGGCATATGTACTCCCACTGACACCAAGAAAGAGACACAGTTCCTTCCAGTGACACTAACAATGGGGCACAATTCCTCCCAATAACACCAAATAATGGGACACAATTCTTGTCACTGACACCAATGATGGGGCACAATTCCTCCCAATGATACCAACAATGGGGCACTATTCCTCCAAATAACACCAGATAATGGGACACAATTCTTCTCACTGACAACAATGATGGAACACAATTATTTTCACTGACACCAATGATGGGGCACTATTCCTCCCAATAACACCAAACACCCTTGTGGGGGCCAAGCCCAACCCCTGAAAAACAACCCCACACCATAATCCCCGTCCACCAAACTTTACACTTGGCACAATGCAGCCAGGCAAGTACCATTCTCCTGGCAACAGCCAAACCCAGACACATCCATCCGATTGCCAGACAGAGAAGCGTGATTGGTCACTCCAGAGAACATGCCTCCACTGCTCTAGAGTCCAGTGGTGGCGTGCTTTACACCACGGCATGGCTTGGATGCAGCTGCTCGGCCATGGAAACCCATTCCATGAAGCTCTCTACGCACTGTTGTTGGGCTCATCTGAAGGCCACACCAAGTTTGGAGGTCTTTAGCTATTGACTCTGCAGACAGTTGACGATTTCTGCGCACTGTGCGCTTCAGCATGCGCTGACCCCCCCCCCGCCCTGTCATGTGACGTGGCCTACCACTTGGTGGCTGAGTGGCTGTTGTTCCCAGTTGTTTCCACTTGGTTATAATCCCACTAACAGTTGAGCGTGGAATATTTAGTAGCCAGGAAATGTCACGGATGGACTTATTGCCCAGGTGGCCACCTATCACGGACCACGCTTGGAGTCACTGAGCTGCTGAGAGCGACCCATTCTTTCACCAATGTTTGTAGAAGGTTATAGGTTGGGACGGTTGAAATTTTTTGTGTAGTTGGCTAATTTTGAAGAAAGGGATGCCTTTGGTGTAATTTTAGTATAGCTGGGCGTCACGTGCATCCCTGTACCTTTAAGGAGGGATGGGCTCCTCCAGGCACAGCTGCCCCTAACCTATCCATTGATGCATGTGCTCCTACTATGGAGGCTCTGGAAATTTTAGTCAGGTCCAGGGTATATAGAGGACCCTTGACGTGGGACTGTGACTTACGCATGTATTTACAAATGTGTGCAAACAAAACCCTTTGTTTTTTAACGCACACAGTTAGACAGGCCAAATTGGTTGTTTTGCAGACTGGCTGGCAAGTGTTGGGAAATCCTTTGTTTGTTCGCATTGTAGAAGCAGTCTGCATGCCTAGGGGCTTGATTGTATACACCTGTGTCCATGGAGGGGATTGGAACACCTGAATCACATGATATGGAGGGGATTGGAACACCTGAATCACATGATTTGGAGGGGATTGGAACACCTGAATCACATGATATGGAGGGGATTGGAACACCTGAATCACATGATTTGGAGGGGATTGGAGCACCTGAATCACATGATATGGAGGGGATTGGAACACCTGAATCACATGATTTGGAGGGGATTTGAACACCTGAATCACATGATATGGAGGGGATTGGAACACCCGAATCACGATATGGAGGGGATTGGAACACCTGAATCACATGATATGGAGGGGATTGGAACACCTGAATCACATGATTTGGAGGGGATTGGAGCACCTGAATCACATGATATGGAGGGGATTGGAACACCTGAATCACATGATATGGAGGGGATTGGAACACCTGAATCACGATATGGAGGGGATTGGAACACCTGAATCACATGATTTGGAGGGGATTTGAACACCTGAATCACATGATATGGAGGGGATTGGAACACCCGAATCACGATATGGAGGGGATTGGAACACCTGAATCACATGATTTGGAGGGGATTGGAACACCTGAAGCACATGATATGGAGGGGATTGGAACACCTGAAGCACATGATATGGAGGGGATTGGAGCACCTGAATCACATGATATGGAGGGGATTGGAACACCTGAATCACATGATTTGGAGGGGATTGGAGCACCTGAATCACATGATATGGAGGGGATTGGAACACCTGAATCACATGATATGGAGGGGATTGGAACACCTGAATCACGATATGGAGGGGATTGGAACACCTGAATCACATGATTTGGAAGGGATTGGAGCACCTGAATCACATGATATGGAGGGGATTGAAACACCTGAATCACATGATTTGGAGGGGATTGGAGCACCTGAATCACATGACATGGAGGGGATTGGAACACCTGAATCACATGATTTGGAGGGCGGGGACAATACTTTTGGTAATGTAGTGTATCTACACATCTGAACAGGCATGGCTCACCTTCCTCATATACAATGTTTCTCAACCTTTTTTCAGTCAAGGCACCCAATAAAGTTATGGACAGTCTTGAGGCCCCCTATTATGGACGGTCTTGAGGCCCCCTATTATGGACGGTCTTGAGGCCCCCTATTATGGACGGTCTTGAGGCCCCCTATTATGGACTTGAGGCCCCCTATTTGGACGGCACCCTATTATGGACGGTCTCGAGGCACCCTATTATGGACAGTTTCGAGGCACCCTATTATGGACAGTCTCGAGGCACCCTATTATGGACGGTCTCGAGGCACCCTATTATGGAAGGTCTCGAGGCACCCTATTATGGACAGTCGTGAGGCACCCTATTATGGACAGTCTCGAGGCACCCTACTATGGACAGTCTCAAGGCACCCTATTATGGACAGTTTCGAGGCACCCTATTATGGACAGTCTCAAGGCACCCTATTATGGACAGTTTCGAGGCACCCTATTATGGACAGTCTCAAGGCACCCTATTATGGACAGTTTCGAGGCACCCTATTATGGACAGTCTCAAGGCACCCTATTATGGACAGTCTCAAGGCACCCTATTATGGACAGTCTTGAGGCACCCTATTATGGATAGTTTTGAGGCACCCTACTATGGACAGTCTCGAGGCACCCTATTATGGACAGTTTCGAGGCACCCCATTCTAAAATGTAAAAACTGGTCTAATGGTTTTACCTAATGCAGCAACACCCACACATGTAGGACACCCAGTGTTAGAGGTGATTTATTCTTCCAAAGCGAATACACTTTTGCATAGTGATACTGAGTAGTATTCCATTGTTTCTCCTCTCCCTCAATTTCTCTCTATCATTCAGCTAAATTTACCCCATTACTGACAGAGAGGGGTGGGGGAAGGGTCAAGCAAGGATGCCGTGCAGGTGACCGACATCCTCCATGTCAACTGATGGCATCATTGGTTGTTAAGACTCAGGCTAGAAGGCAGTAATGGCGCACAATGAAAACGCATGGCTTTGTATAACTAAAAGGCCGGCTTGTTCCACCTGCCGGCTTGTATACAGTTTTGGGCAATTTTTAAGCATTTTGCCAAGGCACCTCTGAAGAAACTTAAAGGGACCCCAGGATGCCTGGGCACCCTGGTGCAAAAAGGCTGATATACAATATACATGAGCAGGAAAAGGTATGGCAGTTTATATTCTTTTTAATATTGGCGCAATTCTGCCCACGTCAGTGGTCTGCTGATGGTGTCAGTCACTCGCTGCGCCCAGCCAGTCAAACAATGAACCCCGGTATGGTCTTTCAGGACTTTTCAGGGCTTTTCAGGTCCCCTCACATATAGAATTGCACGGAGTATGAAGGCAGCAGCAGTCTCTGATCAACGCTCTTCTCTGAGGCAGCACAGCATCAGATAGCTCCAGAGAGTTCTGGCCACACACCACTGTCGCTCCAATCTTGTGGTGCTCTCTCCTCTTTTCCTCCCTGCAACCTCCACAATTCACTTCTCCCTGCTCTGCTGCATCAACCACTCACCGTCCTCCAGATGCTTCACTGGAGACAATCCATAGATGAGCATTGCAAAGCAATTTCCTCAAAGATGTCTGCTGCACTTCTGCATTAATGAATATTCAGTTTAGCCCTGTCCACACTGCAGAAGTATGATACAGCAACAACAAAAGATGTTCCACAGCAGTTATCAGCCAAAGTCCAGTTTAGTTTGCCTATTAGCCCTAATATTAGCCAGATTCTGCAGATTCAACCACCCCGACTGGTGAGTTACTGAGCACAAGGTTATGAGCTGAAAATCTAAAGTGAAAAGTTAGGTCCCTGAACTGCAACTTATATCCACAGCACTAGTCCCTAGCAGTACCTCTAAAATCCATGCATGTACAGCCAGGAGCCTGGCCAATCCTCTGTCTACAGTGTGTCATGTGTTGGCCTTTTGGCTATGACTAGTCACACATGTACATTGACATGCGTTCCTCATGCTAGGTGTACTCACTGGCTTGGAGGGTAAATAAACATCTTCCGTTCTGCTGGCTGGTGATGTGACTTTTTGCCAGCTACCCTGCATGTTAGTTTACCATTGTTCCTCTGTTCCTGTTGCTAGCCCAGATGGCCTGGCATGGCTTGGGTCTCCTTCCCTCTGCCATTCCTGCTAGTCTCTTGCCTGCCCATTGCTTGGAGCTCTGCCTGGATATTGACTACTCTCTTGCTCTCCCCAACTTCTGCCCGGACACCGAGAACTCTCTTGCTTGACGCATGCCTCAACCTCAGGTTGGACTCTGCCCTTCTGTTATGTCTCACCCTGTCTCCACAATGTTGACATCCTGTATTAAAACCCCTTGGTGGAGAGATCCAGAGGGCCCTGACCTGATGTCTGCTTGCAGCAAAGTAGCCTTGAGACCATTAGGGTCACCAGCTATCACGTACCTGGTGATAGAGGCCAATGGAGAGAGTTCTTCCCTTGCGGCTAAGTTCCGGACTCCCCTGAGAGTGGGACAGCGAGAGTCAGGCCCAAAGTTGCACAGGTCGCCTGTAGGAGTGCTGGTTGGTGGTCCACTCAGGAGCACAGCTGGTGCATGGAGATAGGTCTGCAGACAGGAGGCGCCTGTGCGTGGTATGCAAGCCCTTCTGGGATTTGGATGTTTACTGGGTAGTCGGTTCAAGCCAAGGTCAGGTACCAGGTGAGAATCAGAGCAGATGTAGTCAGATGGGATAGCCGAGGCCATACACAGAGGAGTGAGAGAGAGAGAGAGAGTATCCATAAGCCAAGCCGAGGTCAGATCAGGGGTAAAGCAGAGTAGACAAATCCAGGAGCAATTTATCATCTAAATTTGCCCTGTTTATTTATATTTATATTGTTTGTGTTTTCACGATTGGCACAGCAGCATTTTTAGAGTGTTATTTGGAAGGTTTTGGCGCAGGAATACGTTTTCTTGTATAGATCCAGGAGCAAGCCAAGTCGGTAACAGGAAATCACGGGTCAAAGTCACAGGAACAGGGCACGGGGAGCTAGAGATCATCCAGCAACTTGAGGAAGTGATGAGCTTCCTTATAAAGGCCATCTGGCACCAAACTGAGGCTGATGTGTCCTTCTGCGGCCATGCAGAGTACTGGCAGAAATGCCAGATCTTCCAGAACTTCTGTCGTGGACAGGACCCTGACACTAGCTCACTCCTTGTGGGGTGCTCTGGCAAAGTTGCCACTCCTAGACTCTACACCTCCAGTTGAGCCCGTGTCACTTAACTATGTTGACAGCTCTCCCGCCATCAGTCCTTGATTTAGGCATATTATATTGCGATCAATGGCAGAAGCTACCAGCTGCCACAAAGTAAGGTCACCAGAGAACCCCATCCATAGTAATGCACCTGATAGTAGCCATGTTTGTGTGCAGGAGGTCCGTGAGAAGAGTGTGCTTGGCAGACCTTTATAATACAGTTCCCTGCATGCGTGCTTCCAAGTGCTAATTGTGATGTTCAGGACACGGCACTGGAAGAACATTCTAAGCCAAAGCTTTGATCCTCCATCCAGTGCCCACTGAGACCGAGCAGAAGACGGAATATTCGGTGACTCCTCTTCTTCTCCTAGGGGAAGCTTTTTTACTTTCTGTTTTGGCCAAGGAAAGTTGGGTAGATGCCTGGCAATCGTCCGTTCTATACACTACAGAGAGAGAAGACCCATGAAGAAGATCACAGAGTTTTAGTCTTTACTGTGCGCCATGCTGACTTAATCAAATAATTTAACATATGCGCTGTTTTCAGGCAAAAAATATTCTGCTGATTAGAAATGATATATTTAGCATCGTTCAGAAGTAATTATAAAGTATTTTTAGATCCAAAGTTTCATTAAAGTGGTTCCAAAGCCTCTCGGGTGTTACTAATACGTTCTATGCATGAAAGTATAATACCTTCTGTGTGAAGCAGCCCCCCCACTCCCCCCTAACACTTACCTGAGCCCCCCTCTTGATCCAGCAATGCTCACGAGAGCCTCGGTTCTCCGGGGACTCTCACTCCTAATTGGCTCATGCTGCTGTCAATCACAGTCAATGAGCCAATCAGGAGAGGGAGGGGGTGGGGCCGAGCCACGGATCTGTTTATGAATAAATACGCAGAGCCGTGTAAGCCGGCAACAGTGTTCCTGATCCCCGCCCACACCAGTCCCAGTGTCACCAGATCAGTGTAAGCCAGCAACAGTGTTCCTGATCCCCGCCACACCAGTCCCAGCCTCATCACACCAGTGTAAGCCATCTAAAGTGTGCCCAGTCACCGCCATAGCAGTCCCAGTGTCACCAGATGCAATGTAGCTAGTAACAGTATTCATGACTGCCACTATATCAGTACAGTGTCACCAGATCGGTGTAAGTCAGCAACCTGATCCTGATCACCCCCATACCAGTGGCAGTGTTGCCTCTGCCTGCCTCTTGTATTGCCCACGGCCCTTTTTTTCCCCATTTCTGCCTGCTGCCTGGACTGATTCTTTGCCTGTTTATTGACTATGTATCGGGCCGCTGCCTGAACTGACCCATCTGCAAGCCTCCATGGCTACAGTCAGGTCCATAAATATTGGGACATGGACACAATTCTAACATTTTTGGCTCTATACACCACCACAATGGATTTGAAATGTAAACAAACAAGATGTGCTTTAACTGCAGACTGTCAGCTTTAATTTGAGGGTATTTACATCCAAATCAGGTGAACGGTGTAGGAATTACAACAGTTTGCAGATGTGCCTCCCACTTGTTAAGGGACCAAAAGTAAT